CTGGGATTACAGGTGCATGCCACCATGCCCAGTCTCAATTTCAGTCTCAGCACGTCCCAGGGGAGGAGCCAGCACTGCAGGCCCGGGAATTGAACCTCTGGTGCCTACAACTGCTTACAGGGACTTTATTTTTATTTATTTATTGATTTTTTTTAAAAAGGCACTTTAATCCCCTGAGCTATTTGGCATTACCTACTTGATGGTCCTTTCTCCATAATTATCAACTACTGACAAGGTGTAGGAGCTCTTGGGGGGGTCCAACACAGTTCTCATTTTTTTCTCTTTTATTACTTGTATCCATATCACTGTTATTTGGCTATGTGTCTTATTCTTGTTCACCTTTCATTTGTTCCTCTAAGTCTTTTTCTATTTATTTCTTTGTTTTCATTTTCTTGTCCCTCCCTGACTTTGTCTTGGAGTTTACATTGAGTCTTTTCTTTTGTGTGTTGTGATTTTGAGTTCTCTATTCAAATTCAAGGGGAAAATTGGAAAGATTCTCACCCTGACTAATTATATATACTGAAACCTGTGAACTAACCATCTGCACTGAAGATGGTAATTTGTAATAGTAGGTTCATGCTTGGAGTGCCTGTCATTCTGGTCTTCTGAATACAGGCTGCTTCTCATGACATGACAGTTGCTGCCGTGCTGCCTCTCAGGTAGATGATTGTTCAAAAAGAAAGGGGTAGTGAATGAAGGCAGGAGACAGGAAAAGGAATGTTGTGGAAGTGTCCTTCTTCAAGGTTGTATATGGTTAGATTTTTGGACTTATGTGTAAACATAAGAATTATATAATTCTTTAATGCCTATTTTTAAAAATATATTCTAATTTTTAAATGTTTTTTCATCATATTCTGTAGGGACTAAAAGTTCAACATATCAATACTTGATGAAAAATACCTGTTCCACGTTATGCCTAAGATGTTTGATATTCAGACAGATAGTGAGGCTAAACTTAACAGCCTAGGTTGTATGGTGATAACAATAAATTTCTCTTCTGGAGGGTTAATAACCTAAGTTTGCAGACCAAAATTAGAGAAAAAGGAGGGCCACAAGGAAAGCCAACATTTTGACCCTAGCATTCCAAGGTCAATTAAGACTCAGGACATATGAGAACTTGTACTGTGACATCATGTAACTCAGTAGTGTCCCAAATTTTCTGATCAAGTAGATTATGGGGCCAAAGAGGGAAGTGATCTATGATGTAGAGTGTGCCTAAGGAGAGTCACATGGAGAGAAAACATTCTCTCAAGCTTTCACAGAGAGTATATTGACCAAGCAATGGCCGTGACTCATTCACTTGGCTGACATTGACAAAGGATCTACAATCTGAGGTACAGGATCTCAGGAAAAATCCTGAGGGGATTTCACTGACCTTATCAGACCCAAAAGCTACAACTCTTGCTGCATAGGTCTTGCTTTACCTTGGTCTTAACCATCCAGTAGAAAAATATAAAAACGAAGTATAAGAAGCAAAGCCATGGTGTTATGTTCAGCTGTAGGGGACTCAGGTCAACAATTTCTGACATTGCCAGGGAAGCAGAAGCCCCAGTACTATTATGGACTCCTGGACTCTTTTAGAATATTTTGCTGAGTTAACACAACTATAATATTCAAATAACGAAACTAAACAAAAAAGGGGGATACAGATGAATATCCATTTTGTATCTGTGTATTCAAAATGGTTAGGATAGACATATAGTTACATTCTCTTAATGAATAGAAGGATTTGTTCTAATAGACTTTGTAAATAGGATATCATGTCTGCATCTTGTACAGCAAATAACCACTAGGAAGAATGTATGCAATGTGTTAATTATTGAAACTGTCCTACCGATTTGTTTTGAAACTGTCTCATCGCTATTTGCTTATCAATAAAATTATGGGGGGAAAAAGAAAAAAGCAGTAAAACTTACAACTCATGGGATGCTCTATATACCTGCACCAGAACTCCACTGGGGCCCTTCACAGTGCTATCATCAGGTTGCTAGTTTTCTTCTCTTTCTTTTCTTGTGTGCACATGCCAGAAATCGAACTCAGGACCTTGTGCTTACCAGGCAGGTGTCTGTGCTGTTGAGCTATATCCCTGGCCCACGTGGCTAGATTTTGTTTCTTCGTTGGACATCTCCCACGTATTAAGAGGTTTTATAATTTTTTATTTAATGCCACTTGCTTTTCTAGAAAAAAATTTCTACAATCTCCTGTGTGGTAGTAGGGTTAATATACCAAGTTGCTGAAACCCTGAGACTATCTCAGGGGAAAGGGGGCATGAGAGACCATTCCTTTTCTTTACTTTTTATATTTTAAAGAGAATAAAAATAGTTAAGGAATTATAAAGATACAGAATTTCACTAAATAAAAGATAGGACTTCAACAATGATTGTTATATTGCATATTGTTGTCTTCAAATTAGTTGTTCAGATTACCACACACAAGCATGCAAAGTTGGCCCAAAACTCAAAAATAAAAAAAAAATATTAAGCATTACCTGCTTCTTTGAGTAGACCAGCAGAAATCAATGATATAAACATCTCAGCTATCCTGTATATATACATAAATGTCTTTCCCCCTTCCTTTTTAGTTTTTCCCGTCTCTCATCCCATTGTTCCTTCCCTTTGAGCAGTTCCTTTCCCTTTCACAATAACAATTGTACCTTTTGGATTTTATTTTACTCTTTCAGGTTCTTGGTTTGGGTTTACTGGTTCCTTTTATTCTCATTTAGCACCTTCTCTCCCAGCTGTGCCTATTCCCTCCAGCATCTGGAGTCTCTCCACTTTAAAGATAATCAAGCTCCCATTCCCTGCAGAGACTGGAATGGGATATTTTCTGGGCCACAAATGGAAGACAAAGAGATTGGAAAAAGCGTGTGGGGGGGGGGCGGAGCGGCATCTAACTGCTCAGGACAGATGCACAGCCTCGGCAAATGTCGCCTGTAAGCTCCAGACCTTTCCTGAGCCCTGGGAGGAAAATTAATTTGGTTTTTACTGCTACCCCCTCTGTCTTAACAAAGATTTCAATTCCCCTGTCCATCTTTATTCATACATTCCTATTATGCTTCTTTGAAATTTCACTTACCTCTATGAAAAATGTTGATTCACCTCCTACACTCTTTATCTTGATTGTACCATAATTTAACTATTGCACCAGGAGAATCTGAGAAAATAGAAGTATGAAACAGTTAGTCTATTTCTATAGGCTCATAGGTATTTCTTAATATATTATTGAATACCTTTACATACACAATTATGACTCCAATAAGCAGGAAATATTTATTTAAAATTAAACCTAGTGTGTACCTATGTTTATAGCAGCAAAATTTGTGATAGCTAAATCTTGGAAAAAACCAAGATGCCTGTCACCTGAGGAATGGATGAAAAAGATGTATTTTTATGCAATGGAGTATTATTCAGCTATAAAGAATGATAATCTTGAAGCCTTTATATTTAAGTGGATGCCACTTGAAGATATACTCAGAAGTGAAATAAACCAGACCCCAAACAGATGTGTAAATATCATATAGTCTCCCTAGTATAAGAACTCAACAGAAAAATAAAAATAGAAAGGTATAAGACAATTAAAAGGAAAGCAAGAACTTAAGGATTAAACAATGAAGAAAGGGCAAGGAAAAAATCTAGGAAACATGACAGGGGCAAAGCCATACATTTATATGCACAAGGTGGGTAAGGCAATGGTCCTGAGAATCTTCAGCATGTTTCTGAAACTAGCAGTTAATTGGTAGGATTCTCACCCTGACTAACTATATATGCTGATACCTGTGAACTAAGCAACTGTACTGAAGATAGCAATATGTAATGATAGGGCCATGTTTGGAATGCCTGTCATTCTGGTCTTCTAAATACGTACTGCTTGTCATGACATACCAATTACTGCCATACTGTCTCTCAACTAAATGATTGTTGTTTTCTTTTTTTAAAAAAAGGGTAATAAATGAAAACAAGAGACAAGAAAAAAAAATGTCACAGGACTGTCCTGCTACAATGCTGTATATGATTAGATTTCTAAATTTCTATGTAAGGGGTGGGCTGTGGAGCCAGCGGAGAGAAAGGACGACGACGACCCTCCGCCCCGCGGCCCGGTCCGCGCCGCCGCCATGGCAATGAGGCAGACGCCGCTCACCTGCTCCGGCCACACGCGGCCCGTGGTCGACTTGGCCTTCAGCGGCATCATGCCCTACGGGTATTTCTTAATCAGTGCTTGCAAAGATGGAAAACCTATGTTACGCCAGGGAGATACAGGAGATTGGATTGGAACATTTTTGGGTCACAAAGGTGCTGTTTGGGGCGCAACATTGAATAAGGATGCCACCAAAGCAGCTACTGCAGCTGCAGATTTCACAGCCAAAGTGTGGGACGCTGTCTCGGGAGATGAATTGATGACCTTGGCGCACAAACACATCGTCAAGACTGTGGATTTCACACAGGATAGCAATTACTTGTTAACTGGGGGACAAGACAAGCTGCTACGCATATATGACTTAAACAAACCTGAAGCAGAACCTAAAGAAATCAGTGGTCACACTTCTGGTATTAAAAAAGCTCTGTGGTGCAGTGAGGATAAACAGATTCTTTCAGCTGATGACAAGACTGTTCGCCTTTGGGATCATGCTACTATGACGGAAGTGAAATCTCTGAGCTTCAATATGTCTGTTAGTAGCATGGAGTATATTCCTGAGGGAGAGATCCTGGTTATTACTTATGGACGATCTATTGCTTTTCATAGTGCAGTAAGTTTGGACCCGATTAAATCCTTTGAAGCGCCTGCACCCATCAATTCTGCATCTCTTCATCCCGAGAAAGAATTTCTTGTTGCAGGTGGTGAAGATTTTAAGCTTTATAAGTATGATTATAATAGTGGAGAAGAACTAGAATCCTACAAAGGACACTTTGGTCCCATTCACTGTGTGAGATTCAGTCCTGATGGAGAACTGTACGCCAGCGGTTCTGAGGATGGAACTCTGAGACTGTGGCAGACCGTGGTAGGAAAAACCTATGGCCTCTGGAAATGTGTGCTCCCGG